GATAACGTGACCCCTACCTTCCTACACCAAGATATCACAGACCTCGAAGATGACACCCCACATACACCCCTACAAACACATCAGTTTAAACAGACAACTGCCTTCCTATAGGGATAGAGTAGGGAAAGCATCTGTCTTGACAGGTGAGTCTCACGTGTGGAGATGTAGTGGGCTAGCCACTGCGGGATACCCGCGGAGTGAAGCGTTCGATGCTTGTCAAGACAGATAGGTTGCGGGCAACTAGGGACATATTAGGGACAGCAGCAGTTGTTATGGTAAATAGCCATTTTAGGGGGGACTGTTGTGGAAATAAGGTCTGCGCATATTTCCTAGATAGAGAAAATGTCTATTTACTCATTTCATGATATATATCGTATAAAGCTAAACACACATATTTTAATCAAGATGGCTGCTAGAAGCTTTTAATCCCTCCTCCCCCCCCTCCTAACGTCGACTAACTACCTCGTGCATCAAGATGGCGCCGGGAAACCGTGGGAGACCCTCATGGCCCCGGTGACATCACCTACAGTAGGCAGAGCATTAGAGCAAGCACTTAACACCTAACCAATTATTGATGTATTATTCCATGTTATCTCTGACAATGCATATGATGTAATTTTGCTTTAAAAGGGACTTGCCGTCCCCTCTGAATAAACATTCCTCAAGTTATTCAACAACCTGGAACCTGTGTCTGGTGTGAATTACTTCAGGGAGCGTGCACGCATTGTTTCATTGATTTGGCCAGGGGCAGATACACAAAGAAATAATCAATACTTTAATTGATTTTTCCACTTCACCCACCTTGCATTTCTTTTGCCATTAAATAAAATTGACAGGCTTGTCATTACTATCAATATTCTAATTTCTCAACTTCTATTCATCCATAACCAACGTTTTTTTCCTGGCACTATAGTTTCCCGTTTAAATCTGACTCATCACTGAAAAACTCCTCCTGAAACATGACAACTAAGTAGACACAGGGCAGAAGAAGACACAACCAACCTGTACTCGAGTGACATTCAATTTTCCTAAACATACAAGTGTACACATATTTCAATTCATTGCAAGTATTCCCCAGTGGCTATGGAATTCAGCAAAAATAATATGGATATTTTTAGATCAAGTAACTTGTATTTAATGTAAATAAAATTCAATTTATTCAGCAAATGATTTAAAGCATTAATTGTAGTAAAGTTGGGAGACCAATCAAAACACCTATGTGAACAGACTGTCTACAGATAAAGTGTACAGCCATTGTTACATTAATTGCCTGCTTTCAAGCTACAGCATGGGGAGTTTGGCTAGTGGATGAGTGAAAACTTTAAACCCTGCAGTTGATCAATTATTGCATGAAATCACCATGTTGGTTGCGTTAATCATAGTCATTGTGACATTTATTATCATAATCATTACTACTTGTTAAAAGCAAACATAAAGGGACACAACCTGCATGAAAACAAAATGGTTTCATTTTATCTCCTGCTCTGTAAATTGAACTTTAAAGGGACACTCCAGGCACCCAGACCACTTCTGCCCATTGGAGTGGTATGGGTGCCAACTCCCACTACCCTAACCCTGCAAGTGTAATTATTGCAGTTTTCATTAACTGCAAATTTACCTTGCAGGGTTAACTCCTCCACTAGTGGCTGTCTACTAGACAGCCACTTCCGTGTTTATAGCACACATTCCATGTGCTATAGCGTCGCTGGACAGCCTCACGCTATGTAAGGACCTCCAGTGTCGCTGAAATCCCCATAGTAAAACACTGAAAGCATTTTTCAATGCTTTCCTATGGGGAGGTCTAACGCGCACACGCGCATTAGGTCTCTCCCGCCGGCGGCCACGCATGCCCAATAGGTCTCAATAGGAGCGTGGGCGGACCCTGAACCAGCGCTGGATACAGGTAAGTCACTGAGCAACTTGGGATGGGGGGGGATGAATTGAATCAATGAATCTCTATGAGGAAAGTTCAGCGTCTGTATGCAAAGGGAGGAGACACTGAATGTTTGGGCAGCCATCTGAGGAGTGGCCAGTGAAGTTATCACTAGGCTGTAATGTAAACACTGCATTTTATCTGAAAAGACAGTGTTTACAGCAAAAAGCCTGAAGGTAATGATTCTACTCACCAGAACAAAATTCAGTAAGCTGTAGTTGTTCTGGTGACTATAGTGTCCCTTTAAGTACATCTATCTTCTCTTCTTTGCGTTTAAAATGGGTCAAAAGAATAGACACCCTCAATAAGCCTCCATTCTACATACCATGGTATGAGTGAAGGTGTGGGGGGTCTTCACAACAAATAAAAACTCATCTGTGAATCTGAGTTTTTCAGTGTGCGTATTTGTCTGTCTGCGTATCTGTGTTTGTGTCAATGTGCATACCTGTATGTCTGTGCATCTGTCAGAGTGTGTATCTGTCAATGTGCGTATCGGTAAGTCTGTGTGTCAGTGTTTGTATGTGTCAGTCTGTATCGTGAGTGTATGCATCTGTATTTCTGTGTCTCAGTGTGCATATCTGTATCTGCGTGGGGGTCAGTGTGTGTATCTGTATGCCTGTATCTGTATCTGTGTGTGTTTCAGTATGCATCTGTAAGTCTGTACATCTGTATGTCTGTGTATGCATCTATATTTCTGTGTCTGTGTGTGTCTGTATCTGTCAGGGCCTGCCCATCCATTGATCCCAGTGGGGCCGTGGCTCCAGGCGGCACTTTGACAGGGGCGGCATTTTGCCTGGAAAGCCCAGTCTTCCCCGATCAGCTTGTCTGCCAGAGAGGGCTCAGAGGCTGCTCAAAACTAAAAGAAAAATCATAGGAGTCTGGAGAGGGAGGCTGATCTGGGGCTGGTTGGGTCCTCAGGGTTATGACGTTTCCCACTGAACTTCCGGCACTCTGAGGTTACTAGCTGTGCATGCCGGAACATCAGTGGGAACTTTACTTGCATCAAATTTGCTGCAGGGCTGTTGCTGTAGGCAGGCACCCGGGAGCGTCAGAATTCCCTTTAGTGTCTGGCTATGTGTGCTGTAATGGCCACATAGCTAGCACAGGCGTCGGGACATGCAGGAGTCGGACTGAGGAGCGGAACTGCAATTCAGACTACTTCAGCTAGGATCCACCACACTGTGGATACTGAAAGGATAAGTCATTATTAGCTTCAATGCACTCCAGTGTTAATTTTGGCGGTAAATTTAAATTAGTTTTAGTCATAGTTTTTTTACCTAAAAGCCATTTTAGTTTTAGTCATATTTTAATCATCTGAAATGTTTTAGTTTTAATGTACTAAATCTCCAGTAGATTTTAGTCAACATTACTAAGATCTAGTGGGTTTATTAAACCTCTGTCTTGGTCTGGCCCTGGTATCTGTGTATGTCATTGTATCTGTATGCATATGAGTGTGTGTATCTATGTGTCTGTATCTGTATGTCTGTTTATCTGCATGTGAGTCAGTATGTGTGTCTGTATCTACATGTGTATATGTGTGTGTCTCTGTACATGTGTCAATGTTTACATCTGTATGTGTATCTTCATGTATGTGTGGCAGTGTGTTTATCAGCATGTGTGTTCAACAGTATGTATATTAGTGTTGCCATCTGTTTGTCTGCATGTGTGGCTTTACATTTGTATGTGTTAGTGTGTGTATACGTATGTCCTTGCAACTATATGTATGTCAGTGTGTGTATCTGCATGTATGCCAGTATGTGCATCAGTGTGTCTGTGTGTCAGTGTTTTTTCCTGTTTGTATATATGTGTGTTTCAGTGTTTTCTCTGTGGGTATGTGCATGTGTCATTGTGTCTGTGCAACTGCATGTGTATCTCAGTGCTTGTATCTGTGTCTATGTATCTGCATGTGTGTCAGTGTGTGTGTGTGTGTGTGTGTGTGTATCTTTGTATTATGTATCCATATGAGTGTCATTGTTTTTTATCTGTACATCTGTATGTATGTCAGTGTTTATATCTGTGTGTGTCAGAATTTGTATCTGCACGTGTGTCAGTCTCTGTGTTTGTGTATCTGCACGGTGAGGAGCATGTAACAGAGAAAAGCAGATACTGTACATTTTAAATAACAGCAACTAGAATTACAAATATTTTGCTAATATAAGGGGTACTATTTATGGAAATGGGCTGCCAAGGAGTACTCAAGAGGAAAAAAAAAAAAAAGGCTGGAAACCACTGGTATAGAAGATAACGCAATAAGGATATTTGACATCTCTAGTGTGTGTGTGTATATATATATATATATACACACACACACACACACACACACACATACATATATACACACACACACAGATTTGTGATGGGAATCTTTAAAAGCAGCTCTGTCAAGGTTTAGAGTCCATGCATAATTTGCAAAGACCCCCGACGGTGAATGTTTCACTGGGACTCCAGTGGCTACGCGTTGCAAGGGAAGGTGAGTTATACACATCTGAACTTTTTCTTCGTTGTTGCCACCATGGTCTTCCTGTTTGTCTACTTCAGTTCCTGGGGCTTCAGCTGCCAGAGGCCCACATTAATGTTGTAGTTTTGTACATGCCAGAGAGTCCAACACTGAGGTTTACGGAGAATCCCACTCTATAAACAGGACCGCTCTTTCTACAACCACACTGGTGACAGCTGGGGGAAATGACATTTGTTTGACAAAGGTAGCAAAGCCTTTTGTCAAGCACAGGAAAAATACTAAGATAAAGTAGACACTACTTTGTCTTCGCATATCTTTTAATAGCGTTGGAAATTCTGTGATACACAATCAATGCATTTTACAAACATTCTGTTTATGAAAAACTCATGGAGGTGGGGGAGGGTGACATGGGTCACTGTCATTTTTAAATTAGAACAAATCCTGTGTATATAAAACAACTACCAATAAACTCAATTTTCAAACCTACATCACAGTGATAGTTACATGTAAATAGGATATAAAAATTCCAACCATTACTATGTCAACAAAACTAAATATGCTCATTTCAGAAGGCCCAATAAATGTACAGACCTTCTTAGGGAAACCTCCCCCACACTCATGCATAGCATGGTTGAATATTCGTGATGGGCACACATATCACCTTTTTTGGATGATACGCAGAAGCTCTAATACAGACCTCCTAAAATGTCAATAGCTGTTAATAAGGGAAACATTTAGTGTGAGGGCTGACTGTTATACAATACCTGCTCAGCCACTGCCCTGAATAGACAGGAGCCATCCTTAGCAATCTTCTTCCTGAACAATCCCTGAGACCTCAGATACAAGTCCATAGCTTCCTCCTCCTTACTGCTGGCACCATGGGCTGTGCCCTCTGTGCTGTGCCCATCCATTCCTGCTCACAGCCACAAATGCCAAGCACAGACTGGCGAGCTGCTCCTGGTCTAGCCTGCCTGGCAGAGGGAAGGCTGGCAGAGAGGAAGAGGCAGGCGGTGTGGCATGGATCCTGTATGTGGGGGGCATGAGAGGGTGAGAGAGCGGAATGCAGGGCTCCCCACGTGCGGTGCCAGCTGGAGGTGACAGACAGGGCCCCCTGCTAACACGCCGCTGTCAGCAAGGAGCCGCGGGCATGGCTGGTGAGTGCCACCGGGAGAGCGAGCCGCCAGTCACAGCGGGGGCACACTGCACGAAGACAGGGGCCCGGGAAACGAAAGTGTCTGCACAGCGCAGGAGGGGGAAAAAGTTTTGTTTTCAGTTTTGTAGAGAGTCCGGGGCAGGGCGGCACACTATGTGCGGGAGGAGGAGGAGCAGGAAGTGCTGTGTGATCACCTTGGACAGGCGCAGAACTGCTCCCAGACATGCACTGAGCCTAAATATGTAATAATAGATATACTGCTCCCAGACATGCACTGAGCCTAACTATGTAATAATAGATATACTGCTCCCAGACATGCACTGAGCCTAACTATGTAATAATAGATATACTGCTCCCAGACATGCACTGAGCCTAACTATGTAATAATAGATATACTGCTCCCAGACATGCACTGAGCCTAACTATGTAATAATAGATATACTGCTCCCAGACATGCACTGAGCCTAACTATGTAATAATATATAAATACTGCTCCCAGACATGCACTGAGCCTAAATATGTAATAATAGATATACTGCTCCCAGACATGCACTGAGCCTAACTATGTAATAATAGATATACTGCTCCCAGACATGCACTGAGCCTAACTATGTAATAATAGATATACTGCTCCCAGACATGCACTGAGCCTAACTATGTAATAATATATAAATACTGCTCCCAGACATGCACTGAGCCTAACTATGTAATAATATATAAATACTGCTCCCAGACATGCACTGAGCCTAACTATGTAATAATATATAAATACTGCTCCCAGACATGCACTGAGCCTAACTATGTAATAATATATAAATACTGCTCCCAGACATGCACTGAGCCTAAATATGTAATAATATTTCCTGGCTAATCATGGCAGCATATACACATGGGTTAGCTCCTCCCCTACAGCCGATAGGACAGGAAAACCGCCAAGGTTTTAAAAGGAGGCTCCATCCCTAAGGTCCTCAGTCTTTTTCCTGTCCTACAGCCCTTAGGACATGAGCAATTTGCTCCCTTTACTTACGGACATGCATGTTGTTTTATCTTCATTACTCTAGTACATTATGCAATTGTGCTTTTATGCTGTGATGCATTTAAGCTTTGATATCTTTAACCCCTTAAGGACCAAACTTGTGGAATAAAAAGGGAACCATGATATGTCACACATGTCAGGTGTCCTTAAGAGGTTAAACTAGTGCATTATACAGCTGTACCTTATTTTTAAGATTGTGGTACATAACGTGGTTGTGCTTTTGCTAGGAAGCATTTAAGCTGTGTTGCATTTAAAACTGTTTTAATTTAAAGTTGCATGTAATACCGCAAGTCATTGAAGACTGCAGTTTGTTTGAAAACTGTGATAAATTTTGGAAACTGTGATACATTTTGGAAACTGTGTTACCTTTTATACCTTGAGGCCTTTAGACTGTGGTGCCTTTAAACTTTGACTTTTTGCACGTGGTTTCCTTTTAAACTTCCTTGCAGGCACTTTTGTTATCTATGTTGCTTCCCCCTCGGTCCCAGTGATTTATTCCCGGTTTCCTGGGTGTTTAGGGGCCATGTAGGCTTCAGACAGAGTCCTCTCCCTGGTCTCTAAACAGCAAACACACTCGGAATAGGCCCACATGTGTGCAGTTTGTGCCTTATTGTGCCTAATACAGATGACTTGCATTGTGGGAATACAAGTTGTGGCAGCCATCTTGGATAAGGGCAATTGCCTTAAAGTGCCTAAAATAAAGGGAAAATTGAAGTAAACATACACTTATTGGGTAAGTATTTTCAGGGTCTCCAGACATGGATAAGTGCTGTCTTCAGCCTGTTTTAAAGCTGTTTCGCTGGTTTCTTATAGAATTTAACAGTGCACATTTTTTCTTAATACTTTACCACAGGTAATATCTAGTTATTATTATTTGTCAGGTGTCTGATTCTTCACCAGGATCTGGATATGAGGAGAAAACAGTGGAAGGAATCGGTTATGCACTGACTGCCTCCAGAAGGTTGTCGCTTCAGCATGGCCTATCACTGTGCAGCCACATGACATGCGGGCAGGGCTTACAAAGTAAGTTCCAGAGGCCTTAGGGGTAAGAAAAGAGGCCAGGCTTTACCCTGTGGAGGAAGTTATTTCCAACCCCAGAACTACACCACCTAAGTTGCACACTTATGGATCATAGGTGGACGCAGACCTGTCCAAAATTTTACGCCTACCATTGCAGGAGGCCAGCCAGCTGTGATTTAAAGGCTACTATGGAGAGAGATATTAAAGGCCAAGATTGAAGAGGCAGTCTGAAGTCTTCTGGTTACAACTGACTTCTTCACAGAAACTTCCATAGATGTAACTAGATTAGTCTGTGGATCAAATGGCTTTATCTATAGCAGCTAAGAAAGCATTATGGTTCTGTTTCTGGGATGATGACTCATCCTCAAAGTCTGCCCTCTACACCATTCTATTTGAAGGGGTGGTGCTATTTGGGGAAAACTTTGGATAATTCCATTGAAAAGGCGAATGAGGGCTGCAAAATATTGGTACCTTAGGATGGAAGTTCCAAGGATCCTAGCTCCTCATAGTCTGACCGGAGAACCTCCAGTGACCAGTATTTCTGAGAGACATGAAGCTACTGCGGGGAATACTCCAGAGGTAACTCATGGCAGTTGGTAAACCTGCCTTTCAAGGTTCTAATGTAGCTATAACGCAGTTGTTTTGCTCTTCAGCAATGAACATATATCCATTACTAGGAGCCTAATTTTTCTGATCACACATACCTGGGCTTGTCATACTCTGGAGGCTTGAGTGTTATCCATGGCCCAGATTGATATAGACTGAAGTTTTTTCTTAACGGGCACGGGCCTCCATACCAACAGGAGCATTAAGACCAATGAATCAAAAGGTAAAGCACTGAAGGAAGAAGCCTTCTGGACGAAGAGGTGATTTTTTTTTAGGTCCCAGAACAAGAGCAGTTCCAGAGACAAGTTTCGACCTCTCTTCTGGTGCTAAGAGGAAAAGCACATGAAAGCCTACACTGGATCTAAGAGGGGCCAACAAGAGGCTGAATGTTAGAGTCTTCAGGATGGAGTCAATCAGATCCATATCTCAAGCAATCTGGAAGGATAATTTCCTTACCTCTATATATCTCAAGGATGCTTACTTTCAGTCCAATCTGCAGAGATCTTCGGCATTATCTCAGAAGAGAACTTCCATGTTAGTGCCCTACCATTTGGCCTCAATGCAGCCCCAAGAATCTTTCTATGTGCTTATAGTGTTATTGAGAGTCCAGAACTCCACCTGGTTCCATTATCTGGAGGATCTACTTGTGATAGCCTTAGACCCTCAGAAGGCAGGCACACATAGGTATATAGTTCTTTCATAACTCCTAAAGTTTGGCTGCTTGATGAATATCAAGCAAAGCAGTTTCAGACCAGCTCAGTGATTGACATTCCTGAGTTGAAAATTCTAGGCTCTGCTTTTCCCTATCTCGAGAACAGTTCCACAGATTGTAAAGGTTTTCTCTCACAGTTTCTTCATTTCTGCTTGGTAACAGCAAGAAAATAGATGCAACTACTAGGAATCCGGGCTTCCACCAGCAGACTTGTCAGAGGGGCCCAATGGCATCTCTGGATTCCTTACAGATCCTTCCTATCTTGGTCTAACAAGAGAGAGATTATTGGAGCCAGCCACTTACTATGTCCCAATCAGTGGAGTTGCACCTTACCCTGGCTGCTGAAAGAGGGATTGGATCTCTGAGTTTCCAGTGAACAGAACCTCATTGGTCAATTATTAGCTCGAATTCCAGTTTTTATAAGATTGGTTGCACAGTGTTTGGACCATGTTGCACAATATTTCCATTCATTTGTATGGAATTAAGAGTCATTTTCTAGGCTCTTCTTCACTTCAGAGACTTGCTGAAGAACGAGTGGGTCCAAATTTGCTCAAATTTCAATGCAACTATATCCTATATCTACCAAGATGGGTCTCACAGATACGTATTGATGGAATTCCAGCCCATAATGATCAGGGCACAGAAGAACAACCAGTGGCTCAGAATACCATGGCTGTTTGCTGGAGCCGAATAACTGTGCCAAGGTGGATTGGCAACCATGTCCTGACGGATCCTCGTGGTTGACGCAGATTGTTTGATGGCCATTTCTTGGAACTACCAGGTCCAGAAGTATTTTTTACATGCTAGGACCAGAATGCTCAGGTTCAGAATACACTGGCTCAAATTTAGAATTTTATGATGATGTACATATTTTCCTGTTTTCGACCTTCTTAAAAAGGCAATGCAAGAGGTGACAGTGGAAGACCGTGTCGACTCTAATTCCTATGATGAATAAGATGATTCTGGAACCTCCAAGGGAAATTCCTGTACGTCCAGACCTATTACAAGGCCCCATGACACACCAGGATCCTCAAGTTCTGGTGTTGATGCGGGAGTCCATATTAGTATAGGCATCCCTGAGATGGTCATTGAGATCCTCTTACAATCCTATACAGGCTTTACTAAGCTTGACATGCTTTTGTCTGTTGGAATTACTCCTCGTTCAGGCCTTGAAAGGTTCTGTGTTATAACACTCTAGAGGAACACTTAGCTGCACTTTGCTTCATATAGGCATTGATTGAAATCATGCCTCTACTGAGTGTGGTGAAGCCAATATGTGACATACCAATGGTCACACGAGCCCTGACTGAACCATTATTCGAACCTCTAGAAGGAGCTTCCATGGTGGTAGCACAGAAAGTGCTGGTGGCTGGTACCCCAGCAAGG